AAGCCTACTCTTATCGATTTTAGACCACCAAGGGATTTTTAACGTGCGCAACTTGCACACGGGCCGTCCGCGATTTTTCACCCTTGTCCGAGTAGGCTAGGTGTAGATCTTTCCTACCAGAAGATCAGGGGTGTGGCAGAAAGACAGCCGTAAGGAGGAGCCAAGGAGTGGCAGTAGAAAGGATGCAGAAAGAGTCAGGAGCCCATAGGAGGGGGCAAAGGAGGTGAGGGGGTGGGGGCAGAAAGTGGAAATGAAAGCAGACAACAGAACATTGCTAGAGGGCAGGAAAGGAGGTGAAAGGAGACAATTTTAGAGAAGAAAATGTTTTGGTCGCTACCCGGAATCGAACCAGGGACCTTTGAATGAGAGGCCAACACCTTAACCTCTAGGCCACGAGAGCCCCCTGGTGTTGTTTACTCCTTCTTTCCTTGCAGACGTCCATCGTCTTTTTCTCTCTTCCTTAGTTCTGCTTTTCTTTGTATCTTTTAAACTCTCAAGTGACACCTCTAATCTTCGGCTCTTGTTCAAACTGGATCTAATTGTTTTGTAAGTTCCATAAAACTTTTAACTAAAACTAAAAGGAAAAAATCCCTTATTTTACTGTTATTGTGGTAATGCGCTTTTCTTAACTCAAACGTGGTCAAACGGACACAAGTGTTGTGCGGACACTAAGACTAAGGCCTTATTGTGCTGCAAGTGCCGTAAAACAGCTCTGACTAAGAGAAAAGAGTTGGGTATTTGTCCCAAAATACGTTCACGTGTCGACTGTTTCTGATCCCTGGCGTAAGCTGGCGTTGTCGCGCTGCTCCTTCTCTCGTGTTTTTTTTTCTTCCCGGGGGGTGGTTGGCGGGTGCTCTGGTGTGGTTTCCAGCTTCTTTCCTATCAAACATATTATTATCTTACTTACTTTACTTCCTATCAAACATATTATTATCTTACTTACTTTACTTCCTATCAAACATATTATCTTACTTACTTTACTTCTTATCAAACATATAAATATATCGTCTTTATCTCTCCTTTTTATGCATGTCACTCTCTCGTAACACCTTTCTTCGTTGGCCGTTATATTACTGAATACTTATGTTGCAAGCGCCGTAAAACTCTTACTAAAACCAGACTGGTCTCTCCCTCTAGAGTGTCTAAGAAATGTAGAAGCAGTGAGTTTGTGGAGGCCGATGCCTCGCTGTGAACAGTGCCAATTTAAACAGTAGCCTGTATTTGAACACTTTGGACATGGATTTCGAAATGTTACCGTGCCAATTATTGGAGAATGGTGCCTTGCAGTACCCTACCCTGTGTTTAGGCTAGTATTCTAT